GGGGTCAACAGGGACATTTGGCGTTGCACCTGGATGTAGGCCCATCATGCCGGGGCGCTTCAACTGTTCACAGGAAGAAGTCGCCGGCGGTGACACAGTCAAGTGCCGTTGTGGGCCAAGATCGTTTTGGCTGCCCTCACAACAGCTGCCCGACAGCCAGGCCTTCACAACAAGCGATGTCACACTCACGCCCTCCCACCCAACTTTGCAGCCACCCGCCTAGCCAAACCACATCCACACCCAGACACACACACATACACACACACACACACACACACAACGTAATCCCCACCCACCGGGCTGGTGAGCATGTCGACTGCGTAGTCGATAATCGTGTGGATCTCCCCCCTCACGCGCACGTCCCGCAGCGCCACCACCATCGCCCTGATGGCCGCCTCCCGCGTCTCCCCCTTGGCGAAGAGGTGGCCAAACTGGGAGTCAGAGAACTCGTGGATGCCGCCGCCGCCCTTCACGCTGAAGTAGCCCCACACCTGAGGCAAGATTGGTTGAGCAGTCATTGCTTGGCATGATGTCTACATGCATGCTGGGGCAGCAGATGGGCCATGTGAAAGGACGCCCAGGGCCTGACGCGCCCAACAGCTGTAACCAACAGTTTGGGGGCTTGGTCGCGCCGCTGACCATAAGGACAGCATATCCAGCGTGCCAGATCCGATGCACCGCCGCTCACGTGCCGTGCCCGCCTCGGCTAGAAGCCATACCCTCAAAGCGCCTCACCTCTGGCGTGGGCTTGAACATGAGCTCGTCAATGTGGCCGGCGGTGGGCTTGAACCCGTTGTTGGCGTTCTCTGACGTGATGCGCACCTGGATGCAGGGGAGGGGGGCAGGGGTGGCGGATAGAAGGTCCAATGGTTGAAGGGTTGCTGTGCGGGCCTGGGTGATCTGGGAGTTTGAGAGATATCTGCATCCGGGACGCTTGCTTTTGCGGTTGCGGCCGAATGGCAGCCACACATACTGCAAGCCCAGCGCGCGAGGCGGCTTATGAATGAGGGGTGACCCACCGCCACGACGTGGCTGTCTGGCAGCCTCTGCGGCGTGGCCTCCATGTCAAACTGCTCCGGCTCCAGCTTTGCCTCCAGGCCGGCAAAGGTCGCGCGGATCTGTGTGTGTGTGTGTGTGTGTGTGTGTGTGTGTGTGTGTGTGTGTGTGTGAGGCGGATGGGCAGCACAAGGAAAAGTGGGGCAAAGGCCAGGACGTTGGAGGGAGGCACAAGGGGATGGCCGGACAACGGCGGAACATTGAGCAGCACAAGTTGTGGTGTGGAGTACAGCTCCCGCGTGTGCCGAGTTGACAACCACCTGGGGGATGCGCCACAAAGGGACGCCCATGGCGATGAGCAGCTGCACGCTGCGGGTGGGAAGAACGAGAGGCGGGTGTTCAAAGGGACCGAGTGATCAGCAGGTGCAGCGTCCCTGGCAAACTGCTGCACAAACTGGTTGGCTGCGGCCTTGGCAAGCCAAGCAAGCTCATGAGCTGTGCCTAGTCTCCGGGCTCATGGCACCTGTGGCACCCAAGATCACCTGGGGATGTTGACGTTGGTGATGCCCTCCGTCACGGGGTGCTCCACCTGCAGCCTGCGAACATCACCAATTTGCATACGGCAACAATGAGTGGAATGCTAGCCTTGACGTTTCATCCTCCTCAGCCAATCCCGACCAAGGGAGCTACCATATGCGCAGCGCACTGTGCTGCCCAGCCCAGGGTCAAACCTCGTCATTCCTCCCCACTCAACCTCCCCCTGTCAGTCCTTCCCGGTCAACCCGCCCCGGTCAACTCTCTCTGGTCAACCTTCTACCCAGTCAATCCTCCCCGGTCAGCAGCCCCCGGATTATGCCGAGCCACGGCACCTGGGGTTGAGCTCCAGGAAGTAGTACTTCTTCTCCTCAATGGAGTAGAGGTACTCCACAGTCGCCGCACCCTGGTAGCCCACGCTGCGCGCCAGGGCGCGCGCGCACCGCTCCATGTCGCGCAGCATCTGGGGGTGCCATCGATTAGGGTGGGGCGAGCATGGAGGTGCAGGAAGGAAGATATTGTGTGGTTGTACGCTTTTGGGGAGGTTTACCGCGCATCCTCTGGGAAAGGGAAAGTTCATACATACATACTGCTTCTGTTTTGCCAGCAGCCGGGGGGCTTTAATGCATTCAGAAATGACCGCCTGTTGATGCCAAGCCTTGCAACGATTTTGAGGTGAGCAGGTTATGGAAACCTGTGTGGGTGCGCATCCCTCCGCAGCTTGAGTCTCAGGCTGCCCCATGGAAGCTCGACCCCTGAAGCATCCTGGGAAAATAGCTGGCCGCGAGCGCACCAAGGGGACCCGCACAATGAACAGCGGCCAATCCCTCAGGCTGTAGACCCTGCCCACCTCCTGGCTGGCCGCCAGCGCGGGCCCCTCCTCCACGATCTTCTGGTGGCGGCGCTGCACGCTGCAGTCGCGCGTGAACAGGGACACCACGTTGCCGTGGCGGTCCGCGATCAGCTGCACCTCCAGGTGGCGCGACAGCGGCGCCAGCTTCATCGCAAAGATAGGGGACCCGGGGACCTGCATGATTGCGACCACACCAACCACAGCAGCTTGAGCGCACGTTGAGAATGATTCCAGAAACCTCACGACACAGAAGCATGCAGCCCTGATCGCGCAACGTGGGTGTGCTGCCGCTCGTGCGTCGGCGTCTCCAAGTCAAGCCAGTCATGCATCAGCCGGCCAGTCAGCGGCCCCCTCCTGAAACCCCCTCCCCCTCCCCCAACCCTAACCTCCTCTGCTCACCTCCCCCTGGATCTGCTTGAAGACGGCGCGCACGTCCTCATCGCTCTGCACCTTGCGGATGCCCTTGCCGCCGCCCCCCCAGCTAGCCTTGAGCATCACGGGGTACCTGGGGGCAGCCCGTAGGGCAAGGACGGCTGAAATTAGGTGCTCAGCGGCACGCACGAGCATCGTGACACTCAGTGCGCGCAACGAGGGTCGCACCGCCTGCTGCTGCTTCCTGCCCGTCCAGCGCTGCTGCTCATCAGCTCGAGGCCACAACTTCATCGCAAGGAGCCGGGTTGCTCCCGGAAGGGCGCCTGTGACGCCCTCTCTCTGGCGCTAAGGCCCCGCCCTTCAGATGCCGCTTGCCGCCGCAAGGCCCCCCGCGCCCGTGCCAGAGCGCACCCAATCTTGGCGCATGCCTCGATGGCCTCGTCCAAGGTGAAAACACAGGCCTGGTCGTACGTGTCCTGAGGGATCACGCCGCCGCAGTCCTCGTACGAGATCTGGGCGGCACGGTCCAGGGCCCACAGTGAGGGAGCCAGGAGGGGTCAGTGATTGCACGTCCTTGCAAGGTTGCTGCCGCCCAGTCCGCTGCTTGCCGTCTGCGCTGCCGTCCGGAAAGCACCGTCTGTCACGCTCCGCTGCCTGCCTTCCCCGCATGCTACGCACCGCAACGCCGCTGCCGCTCCAGGGCAGGGTGGGCACCCCTGCTGCCTGCGCCAGGATGGTGGACCCGATCTTGTCGCCCAGCGCTGCCATGGCCGCCGCAGGGGGACCCAGGAACCGGATGCCCCGCGCCGCCAGCGCCTCTGGCAGCTCTGGATTCTCGCTCGCGTGGCCCCTGCTTGCGCAGCATCCCAAACAAGCAAGTTGGAGTGTTGGTGTTGTGTCCAGGTGTGCGTATGCCGCTCCTTGAAGCTTGCAGTCGCTTTCAACCCCGCAGGGCTGCCCGATTTCTCCTTGAGGCACTGGTGCTGATACAGCAGGACCCATGGTAGCCTCTGCTCCAGTTGCTGCCCATATAGAACACAGAACCAACCCCAATCCAGCAGAATATTGCCCATGCGACCACGCCCTCAGGCAGGACTGGGGCTATCCACGGCGCATGCGCGCTCAGCGCACAGCCGCGCACCAGCCTGGCCAGACCGCGTCAACGCCAGCACGCTCCGCCACCTGCACGATCAGCTTCACATTGGCGTAATTGTTGTTGTTGGTGCCGCCGGGCACCTGCGCAAGTGCATGAGCGAAGGGGGCGGGGTTGATGCACGTGGCGAGTTCCAGTCTTGTGGCATGCAGGCAAGAACCAAGCCAGCAGCTGCCAGCTGCAGGCACCGTTGACCACTAGACACCACGCAAAAACTCTGATTTTCCTGCTCACAGTGTTGCTCAAGAACAAACACATCAATATGCACACATGCAGGTTACGTAACCCCTTAAAAGGCACACACCTCCACAAACTGGTCGGCCAGCGTGACGTGCTCTGCGTTGATGCGGATGTCCTCGGGCGTCGCCATCGCCACCAGCGCGATCGCGCGGCTGTTGCCAAACGTCTGGTTGGCCCATGAGCGAATGCTGCGCATGAACTTGACCGCGCCCAGACCATTGTTGGCCACCAGCACGCTGCAACATGTAGGGGCGATTAACCCGATCACACGTGGGGCACCAGCAGCTTGTGCGTCGTGTGCTGCCTGCTTGGCACTCCCTTTGGCGCCCAGCTGGCACCACAGACTGCGCCCACTTGCCTGTGCATGCGTGCAGCGGCATGCACAAACCCAGGGCGCATGGGGGAAACCATGGCTTCCATGCACGCATTTCCTGTACCCCAGCTGACCTGTTGATGGACTTGTCCCCCTTGAGCTCGTCAACCAAATCATCAACCAGCTTGGTCAGGCTGGGGGCCCGCTTCGGCAGGCCGCGGCGCTGGGGGTTTGCTCCCGCACTGCGCACACAGTAGTTTTTGGGGGCGTGGTGTGTTGGTCAGGGGAGCATGCAGGCACCCTTGGTTGTACAGGAGAACTAAAAAGCACTGCAGGCTTCAAATCCATCGAAACAGCCGCCAACCTCAACCCCTCCAACGGAACTGCAAGGCTCATAACGGGTCTGCCAGCATGGCTTTGCCGGGGGTATGCCGGGTCGTCTGTTGGACAAGACGCCCATGCGACTGTTGACCCATGGGCATGTGTTTGGATCCCGACCTCTGCAGCTCGGAAAAGGAGAGCGCCCTGGAGTTGCAGCGCCCATCCGCCATCACTGGTGGCATCCCGTCCCCGTTGGCTGCGGCATCCAGGTCGCCAGATGCAGCCCGCTTGGCAGCGGGCTCGGCAGGTGCCATATGCCGCTGCCGTCCCCCTCTGAGCGCTGCTTGTCACGGCCTGGGACAGCGGGGCGCAGGATGTCACAAAGACGCCGTCGGTTCACGGGGGTGTGTGCAGCGGCCGCGGCAAGAACATGCGCGCTCCCAGCACCTGCTGCAAACGATGTTTGATTCCCTACCAACGGCCTTCCTAATGATATCTGCCTTCGTTGCGAGCTACCTACACCCTCATATGGCCCACGGCACCGGGCGAGATGCAAACCGAACGACAAGGGCCGCGGGCGTCACCAGCACCGACATGCAATAAAGGTCTACAGCAATCAATCCTTTCACCTTCGACACCCTATAGATCGAACGAGGCTGGGGGCTACAATTAGAAGTACAGATCAGTGCCCAGCGGTCAATACAGAGGAAGAACCATGTGGAATAAAATTCGCCTTCGTAATCAAAGTCGATCGTGTTTCACTTGCGTCACACGTGCGGGGCAGCTTGCGGTTACCGCGCAGCTGCATGTCTTCGGGGGATGACTTCATTCGTCGCCGTGTGCAACCATCAACTTGATAATACCGGGCGCAGCCGTGCGCCTGTCGTTGCCACCACACCGTCACACTCTTATGACAAGAACCTTGCTCGGCCGCCCAGGTTGCCGATGCGGGCGCACACCCAATACGACAGCAGCATAACAAGTGTCCAAGCTTTGAATCAGTAGAATTGATCCACTCTCCTGCATCGTTGGTTGCCTTGAGAAATACAAATACAGCTAGAGTACTGTACTGATGCACCCATTCAGGATTACTGAAGCAGCGCAGGCCACCCCTGACATTATGCACATGGGCGCCTACATCACGCGGGTGCACCTGCATCAAGCAGTTTGTTTGAGAGTTTAAGCAGCCACAAAACCACTTTACAGGGTTCACGTGATGCTACCCTGCGGCCATGAGAAACATGAGAGATCACGACAAGCCACAGTAACCTATGAGGGGCGTCGATTACGAAAAGCCGAGCACCTGTTGCACCAAGCGCAAGGCTGGGAGCACCTTTGATACAACAAGGCTGACAATGCGAGCGGCCACAACCCTGTGCACCCCAATCCCGCCCATCCCCTCAGGCCAGCTTCTTCTCTCGCCGGCTGCCCTTTTTGGTTGCGGCGGCGTCCCCCTCTGCCTCCCCAGCGGCCTCGCCCTTTGCTGGGCTGAAGCGCCCGTTGTGGATCTCGGCGGGGTCCATGTAAGTGCCCAGCAGCTTGTCCCAGAATGTGAAGAAGGGCTGGCTGTAGTTCTTGCGGAAGCCGCGGGGGTCATGGTGCACGTCGTGGTACAGAGCGTTGTTGGGGAAGAAGGGGGACAAGAAGTTGACAGGCCACACATAGCCTGCGAGAGGGGGGGACGGCAGAGAGCAGGACGTATTGAAGCAATGATGGCGAAAGCGTGGAGGCAGAGTTGCATTATGTTTTAATATGCAGCAAAAGAGCCAGTGACCCCAGACAACAGGGCGCAACGGCGCCGCAGCTGCATGCTGACAACAGGCCCGCGTCGCTCAGTAGGCGCATCACCATGCTGATGGGCGCGTGTTGCTCAACATGCATGTGTGTGCACAAATTGGCAACGGGCCCGCGTTCAACGGGTGCTGCCACAGCTGTTGCCGCAGCCACGGGGCTGCGAGCGCATTGCGCCTCCATTCCACGACTCTCCAGATGAAATGCGCCGCGCATCAGCACCCACCGCAGTGGTCCAGCACAGTCTTGACTGACCCCAGCGTCCAAAGCGCCGCCGCACCGCCACACGACAGGCCCGCGCCGTACAAGCTGACCACGCCGCCCAGCGTGTCGAGCAGCAGCGCCTCCAGCGGGTGGTTGTACAGTGCGCCGTACGAGTAGCAGACCAGCAGACGGTGGTGGTGGCTGTGCACGGTGTTGTACAGCAGCTTGGACTCGTGCACGCCGCGGTGGATGAAGTACTGCATGCCGGAAACAGTTGCGTGTTTGCAAGTAGCCGCGAAGCAGGGCAAGGGATCAAGGCAAGGAAAAGATGGACACTGCCATAGCAGCAGCAACACCACCACCCAAACACAATGGACCAGGACGACCCAGACGAGTGCGTTTGCACCCATCCCTCCAAAACGCCAACGCTCCATGCGCATTCCGCCCTGCAAGCGGCGTTCTTCAACCCGCTCAGTCTCGAAGCAGCAGAGGTGCGCCTTCAAGCGCCGCACCTGCCACGCGTCCATGACAAACATGCCCAGCAGGAACCTGGGCACGCCGCTCAGCCAGCCGCGCCACCGCCGCGCGTCGCACATGTCCGGCTCGACAAACACCATGCCTATGCTGACCGTCAGCTGGATCATGTGCTGCACTAGCACGCGCAGAATGACGTGGCTGCGTGAGCGGCTGTTGCGCTTCTGGCGTTCTGCGTCGCTGCGGATGCGGTGGCGCTCGGTCCAGGGCAGCTGCAGGTGGTCCAGGATGTCGTACACGATCGCGACAAACCAGTAGGACGCGACCGGCAGCAGTGCCATCCACAGCTCCACGGACAAGCGCGTCAGGCGCTCAGCCGCGACGGTGCGAATGTGTGCCGCGAGCTCGGGCGCGCTGGCGCTCAGCGCAGCAAGCGCCGACGCCATGGCAACGGGCTGCCCCTGCACGGCGGTGGTGCACAGATTCGCCTGCGGTGAACCACTAGTGCTGATCAGCACCCTAGCAGAGTGTCGGTGATAACGGCCTGACTGTGGGACGCGGGCCGGCCGACAAGTAATGGCGGGTGCGATCGCTGGTTTGACGATGCCCTCTCATCCGGACCGCACCTGTCTGGCGATTCAGTGATCGAGCAAACTCTTCCGACCCTTTCGAGGCTAGGTGAGAGGTGTACAAGCACTCACTGCGGCAAGGCTCAGGTGAGCTCAGTGCCAAATCGTCGCAGAGGGCGCTACCGACGAAAATTGTCAGCGTGGCATGTTAAAATATACTTCATAAACGACGTGAGCGCAAGTCGCGGCCTGTGCAGCTTTCCCAGACTGAACGGCCAGCTGTGCAATGGGCGTGGTCGCGACCAGTCGCCGGGCACTGCACCATAGTCGATGCCCAGCTTTGAGAAGGGAGCTCTATCGCATGCTGCGACCAGGTAACTGTGAGCAATTTTTTTGCACGAAAGTATATGGCAGAGTCACAGGACAAAGAGGAACGAATGAACATTCTAGCTGGGAAGTCAACGCTTGACTTCAAAACGACACAAGCGGCGGCGGCCGTGTCAGCGGCGCCGATCTATAACTTGCAAACATCATAGAGTAGTTAGGCGTGGTTGAAAGCCCCCTTGCCTGCCAACGGCAGCGTTTTGTGTCCACTGACACCGCCCTTCCGGCAGAGCCGCGGCCTCGGAGTAAGGCCTCCCCCCTCAGCAATCGCCAAATACCCGTCGCTGGGGCCGCCGACCTGCCGCGTGCGGGCGCGCATGGGCTGGAGCAACATGACAGCGGCAATCACGCATCCCGCGCAGGCGAACGCCGCCGCCTACAGCCCGATAACTGCAGGCTCAGCGGCCCGGACATAGTGATTGAGGAGCAGCCGAAGGAGCCTGGCCGGGGGCTCAAGACTATTCATGTGGTACAGCTGAAGTACACTATGGATTATGACCTGGACAGGGTGTG